TCATATGAAAATATAATATCTTAAAGTTTTTTTATAAATCCTTAATAAAAATTGAAGCATTTGATTAATTTATTTTATTATTTAAAAGTCTACTATATTAATAATGAATATTAATATAAAAATATATTATTTTATTTTAATATTTTTTATACTCAATAAAAATATTTTATTTTAATTAGATAATCTTCTATAATAAGAAAAAAAATTAGTATGCAAAATATAATAAAATCTATTAAAAAAATAACATGATTATTTAAAATTATCAATATATATATATATATATATATATATATAGCAACATAAAGTCTTTACTTGCAAAAAATAATATAAGCTTGTACAAGTATTTTTACAATAAAGGCTACTTATACTTCATCTTCTAGAAAAATATAAAATCTTCTTTATAACTTAAAGATGTAAATTTTCTTCTTTCAAAAATAAATTTTGTTATAGATATGCATACCATTTCTTTCTTTTGTTACAAGATAGAAGCATTTAAACAAAGAGCTTGGTAAGCCTTGTTGTTTTTCAAGAAAATATTTAATATTTAATACAAATCATGCTAAGATATGTTTCAATAGACTTAGAAACAGTTCAAGATACATACCATCATGAAATAATTAAAATTATTAAATTACTATAAATATAGGTAAAATCAAAAGTTATTTATAATGATAATATTTGCTTGATTATATTTAATATTATGAAGTTTCAAAAAAACTTATGAACTTAGATTTTTCGTCCTGAAAAGAATATAAACTTCTATTACATTAGACATCTTTGAAGACTTACAGTTCTTTTAATTAAGATAAATTTACAAAAACATTGTATTTTACCTTATTTAAAAATTGACTATCTATTGTTTTTAGAATAAGGGCATAAACTAAATTTACAAAAGATAGAGATCCATTTCATATTTATATTATGGACAATACTGAGCCCTTTTTTTTATTAATTAATTAAAGTAATGAACTTTTTCCTAAAATAGAGTTAAGAGAGTCTACAATCCAATATACATTTTTTAATTTTTTTTAAAATATCGTATAAATGATTTCATTTCAAAGTAGACATTGCCATTTTGAATCCATGTCATAAATAAATATAAACTTTGAAAGTTATTTGTTAACCCATTCTCTTCCTGTCACACCCCTTGTTGTACCCCATTGGACTTTCTTTCTTCCTATTTAATGTTAAAATAGCTGAAAGGGAGAGTCCACTCTGTTCTAGATCTGTTCTAATAATAATAGTATATATATATATATATATATATTTTTTTTTCCTGTATAGACCTGTATTATTATTATTATTATTAAGCTTATTTTGGGGGCAAGGGCTGTTCTGGTACAATGACACAATTGTCCAGTTCATTAGAAAAGCCGGCAGCTTCTCTTTCCATCACCCTTCTGCCCAGTTTCCCTTCTCTTGCTTGAAAGTTTCTGCACATACATAATATATATATATATATATATAATTATTTATGAGCTCTGTTGCTAGAGTAATGAACTTTTATTTTATTTATTTATTTATTTTTTAATTGTGTCAGGTCTGGGATATTTTCAATAGGAATCTGGACCCTCGAAATGATACTGAATATTCAAGGGAACCAGGGAATAAAGGACTGCTAAACGACCTTGCAAACTCACGACATTAACAGTGAACAGATACTAATACAATATAATATAAATAAATAAAAACATAATACCACCAAGATTAAGGAAAAGTGTACAGAAGCAAATCAGGGAACAAGACTACACTGTTATGAAATAGTTTAGTAGTTGAAAACCTGAGGATCCCACGTTTATTTGGAATGATGAATAGTTGGAAGCACGTGGATGGAAGCGCATTAATGTCTTAGTTTTGACTTGTTCCACTTTGTCTCAGTCGGTCTCTCGTCTAGATAGCTTGATTAGCAAATAATTGTCCTTCTTTCCTATCTAATCCAATGAATGAGGTGATAATTCACAACAACAACAACAATGGTTAAAATAATGTGAAAACAGCGAGTTGAATTTTATTGTTATATCCACTGTCACCAAATCAAATCAGTTTCCAAGCCCCCCACAAACACAACTTTCAAGAGCCTATCAGAAAAACATGCCTGTTTTTTTTTTTTTATTAATTTTGTTCATTTGTTATTTTTTAAAATTTGTTATTCTTTGAGATTACAACTTTTCACCAAGGACTTATTCTGTAATATTATTCCTTTGTTGCCTGTATGAATGATCACATTTCTGTACAGCTCTCTTTTCCTTTCTTTTTGTGGGAGTTTCTTCAAACTCAATTCGTGATTTTCTTTTTTTGTTTTTGTGATCTTGTCTCATTTACATGTGTGTGTGTGTGTTCAAAACATCAAAGAATGTAGTAAAAAAAAAATGGTAAAGAATGGTAAAGAAGAAAAGAAATTAATACAACACACTCATTAGACATGTACAGACTCATCACCTGTCAAGACAAAAGAGACACAAGATATCGAAAAGACAAGCCAATTATTTTATGTATTCTCCACTATAGTGTATTAGTTCTCTTCAGAACTCCTTAGTGGGTGTCAATAGCAGAGAATTGTGTAGAAGTTAATTCCTCTCTCATTTGTACATCCTCTTGCACATAATTTTTTTTTTATGACTGACTGCATGTATGCCATCTCTCAATGATGCTCTGTGTAAGTCATAAATAGATCAATCAGATTGACAACCTCACCACCACCCACAGATACAGACAGAGAATATATTCTAGAATAATGTCCTATTATGATTTTTTTGTCTGTGATGCGTGAAATAAGAAGTCTTACTTTATTTGAGAGCTTGTAAACTACTTCTACTCCTCCTCCTACAACTCCTGTTTCCATTCTCACACATGTGTGTGTAATTTTGCTAGATACTAATCAACATAACTCCACATTCACCCCAAATCCCACAGCATTTCTTGGTGGGTACCCATGCATCTCATCATCATGTTATTGTCTAACTCTCTGCATGCACAGAGTCTGTAGCCATTATATATATATATATATATATATATATATTTGTATCATTTTTTTAACTTAATGTAAGCACTTTTAAAAAAACTATCTGCAATGATAAGGTTGAGTTTCTGGTTCAGTAGCATCTACTAATGTAAGTTACAAGATAAGTGGAATAGAATAGTAGTAGTAGTTGTAAGTCAAGGCTTGGAAGAATAGAGAGAGTGAAACAATGGAAAAGTTCTGAATTTGTGGAATTTTGTTAGGGAGAATTCTCATGACATTTCTTTGTGCACCTAGAACAAATGATGCTCAGTATATGTATTTATATTTATTGTAAAAATTACTTGAAATGTTTCATTTACTTAAATATAATTAAACATAAAATTAAACTCTTTTTGCTCAGATTTCTGTACAAGCTAAATTCAACTAGAATATTTTTTCCAAAACATCGCCTGCATCCCCCCCCCCCCAAAGATCCCTGATTTAGTTTCATTTAAAAATAAATAAATAAATAAAAAATAATCCCCATCTATCTTCAAATGTGAATCACTATCACATTCCTTGTTAGTCAGTCCATCAGTCAATTCCTTTTTTCTTTTTTTTTTTTTTTTTTTTTTTTCCTTTGTACTGTCTTTGTAGAGTTGTTGAAAGCTCCACCATAAGTCAATGGCTGTGAAGAAGGTAAGAGGCAAACATCAACTGTTCAACATTGAAGAACAGGAGTTTGTATGTTATCACCATTATTATTAATGAGGTTAATGTTGATTGATTATTGCTGTTTGTTTGTTTGTTTGTTTTTCTTTTCTTTTCTTTTCTTTTTCTTTCAACAATATTTCCGAAGGATAAGAATAGTAATAAAAAACATCAATGTATCCACTTACCCAGATTGTTGGTCGTTTCAGGACATTCCAGAAAGTTGAAGTAATCTTCAAGTTGAATTGAGACAGCAGACATAATAATAATAATAATAATAATCGTCTTATCAAGCATTCAATGATTGTCCAAGCTTTTCTAAAAGACGTACATGCTGACAAAGATATTGACCATTATAAGATGGAGAATGCTGACCCTACATTATATTAGGATGACTTTCATGATACTGATACCTAGCAGTAAGATAATTATGTTTGTAATATATATGGATATAGACACCAAGTTTGTTTTTACTTTGCTATTGGGATGTTTTATAATACTAGAATGTAGACTACAATCAACATTTGGAGACTAAATACATCTATAGAGTAGAAAAGATTCACACTTACCACATTGAAAGCAATCAGGAATTTATTTTCAATGGAGGGGAGAGGGAAAGCATTCTTCTATTCATTTCTACATAGAACACCCAAACAAAACATTACAGAATGAATTGTTAAGTCCCAAATGTGGTCATTTAGACAATCATGCGTACCATCTAATAAAATACCAATTTTGAACAAAAATCTTGCGATCGAAACATAAGCAGGCATTTGTTTGGGTCTCTTCCCAGGCTACCCCATAAGCCTACTGAATTAGATGCTCTTTCGAACGAGGAAGAATTGCGAGCCTGTGCTTTTGGAGGAGTGGATACCGCTTGTTGGAGACAATTTCATAACATTACTGTTTGTTTCTTAAAAGTGAGAAATGAAAGTCACCTGTTGTGCGTTCACAACGCTAAACCCAGAAGAGAATGATGAAGGTATGGCTAACCCGTGAAATGAGAAGAATCCACACCTACTAAAGATTGCCCTTGTGCTGAGCAAACGGAATGAGCAAACAGAAATGCGGACAGTCTTGGCACCCCGAGGAACAGTCTTCACATCCACGACGTTCTGGACAATAGACCTGCATAGGCCAACGCAGGAGCATATGTGTGTGCAATCGTACTTGGACTTTCTAGACCAAAAGGAGAGCCGATTGACAGAAGACAACCTTTGACTTCTCCGTCTCTAATCTACAAGTCCAACTACTTGTCCAATAATGAAATGCTTTTTGTACATTTCTTAAGATGTCAACAGCCTACGAATTTTTATTAAATTAACAACCTAGTACTGTCTCTTCAACATAAAGAAAAGAAAGAAATTTAACAGTAAAATTAAGATTGTAATTGTACATCTTCATTATAACCTCAGTCCCACAAGACTCGAGTCAAAAGCCCTCTCTGATTGGTAAAAGCCAAGAGATTATTACGGAGAACGGAGATATTGGAATGTGATATGGAAGTAAGATCATTCCAGGCTAATTTCAACATTTACTTCAGCTCACTGTCTGGTTCATGGCTGTGAATAGCATCAGGAGACGGGAAATCATCATTTGCAACTGTTTCTTTGATATCCTCTTGACTTTCGAGATCACCTCCAGCTTTTTCTACCGAAGACTCAACTTCCGCCTCGTCTGGCACCTCACGAAGGTCATCTTTGATATTATCCTCAACTCTAGCTTTAACTCCCTCTGGTGAATCTATTACTGTTTGATTGACCACATCTGCTTCACCTGTGAATGCAGAGAGTGCATTGGGCTTCCAAGTAAGAATATCATCAATGATATTCGATGCCTTCTTTTGATACCTGAAAATCACCACGCCGCATCAATGAGATTACTTTTTGGTTCATCATCCAGCTGAAGGTGGAAGTAAGAGGAGAAAATGCTCGACAAACAGAAAAAATGACTCTTAAAATTCTTTGAAATCTCTTCCCAGAAACGCCAAAAACTCTCAATACATGTTCAACACATGTCCCAACTACCAATACCCAATGAGTCCAAATAAAAACTAAATTTTTATAAACATCGAAGCATGCGACAGAAGAGTCCTGAGATATGCCAAGTTTGAGCAGACTAGGTACCTTGCACGAGCTGCCTCATTTGGACCATGAACGAGCACAAGCCAAATGATCAATCCCGCAACAGTACCAAATGCGATTCTTGTACTCCACTTTGGAGGAGGGTCATCGTCTTTGGAGTCGGGCATAAATTTAAATAGCTCAGACATTGTGGCTTCTTCTGCCAAAATATTAGGCAAAAACCACATTCGTTTGCCCAATGCGAGCCAGAGGACCGCAAATATGACCGCTCGAACTGCGTACAAAGCCAATGAGTAGGAACAAATAAAATTAAAAACACACATCATACTTCCAATAGCAAATCGTTGTGCAGACCTCCAATAGAATGAGATAACGTGACTAATATTTTCTTAAAACCGTTCAAAATGAGTATACGTTAAAATTGTATGGGTCCTTTTGCATACACATTCAACGGCAACCCGCTGCCTACCAAGTCCAAATCGACATCAAGCCTCTGCCATGTGAGAAAATAAAAAGCCGTTCTACATCGATCATTGCAGGCAGGAAGAAACAGCGGCAAAAACCTGCATTACACTAGCTGCTATATGTTTCAATGAATATTTTCTCTTAGTTAAAAATATAAACACACAAATATTGAAAATACTTACATATGAGTACGCCAAATATAAGGGTGAGGAATGCTAAACAAAAGTAAAGGACGCCCAGCTTGCACCAATGAGGAAATATAGGGAACAGGCAGCACGCCAGCGTCACCACGGGAACCAAAAACGACAACACCGTCTGCCATAACGGCCTTCTCCGTTCAAATGTCCATGCATAGAATGAATCTTTTTCAGAAAACTTTTGTTCCTGCATTACGACCGAATCAATTAAGCCTTCAATGTTATTCACCTCTCCACCAGGACAAGGCAAATCTGTTAGGATTTGGTTCATCTATCATGTACACGTCCTTGTGCAGCAAAATAAGCTAAGAGACAAACTCATGTAATAATGAAATGTATCATAATGGTGAAATCAAAAGAAAAGAACCATTTCTTTACAAAAATTACCGTTCGATTGCACCGGGCAAGAAAAGCGATAGAAACTCACTTGGCAAATCTCAATGCGAGCTGGCCACTTTGAGAGCTTCGTCTTGCCTGGTCTTGGCGTCTTTGATACCCGATCACATCGAACTATCAATTTCCTGTTGATTAGGATATTGCCAATATCCAAATCCACATCTTCAATTGCTGCCTCAATCCCTAAAGGTTTAATAAGCTCAGGATGAGCCTGTAACAAGGCAACGAAGTCTATCCCTCTAAAATACTCTACTCTTGCTTCTTGCAGGATTGCCCACCGCGTGTCAAGCTCCTTATGATATCTCACCCTCTCTGCAAATACCCGCACCGAATCAACCTCCTTGCCCTTCTTCTGCACAGCCATCCGAAACAGGTTGAAATGAGAGATAGTTTACTCCACTCCTTTAGACATACCTATAGTAAGATCGATGCATCATATTTTGGACAGTGCCAAGCTATAATATACAAAGTTTTTGTCCCTCCAGTTAAATTCACACACATGCACATATATACACACTTAGTTACTTACTTGCTTAGTTAGACGTGTGCTAGTTAAATAAGCAAGAGCTTCAAAAATCAACAACCAATACACATTCTTGAATCAGCTGACATTTCTATCTCATATCATACTTAATCTGTAAAGTGGTTGACAAGATCCTAATCAGGTGAAGTTATGTATCTCGCTCCGTCGAACTGGAGAAAAGCTCACTGTACTACAAATCCCACATTCTACAAGGAATAAGCTAACTGCTGAAGTCGCCGCTCGATTGCCATCATCAAAAAGCCCGATGGGTCATGCTGATTCTGAGACTTCTTCACTAGGTCAGTTGCAGTAGATTGGCATCGAACCTTAGATTACAGTCATCTCAAAGTATACCTCACATTGTCCACCTAGTTAAACTGCCGCGCGAGGAACAAGCAAGTAATAGTAAACAAAAAGACGAATTTGATTTAGCCCTCACTCTGAGGCAGTGAGTTCAGTAACAGTTTTGGACCATAACCTCCTCTTAATCCAGACCTCATTTGCTAGGCCCTTCCCCAGAAAGACACAAGAACCTGATAGCCCCACATTAGGGTTTCGCCCAAAATAGGTAGGAGAATCCAGATGCTGCAAAGCCTCGAGACGGAATGGTTGTGTTCAAAGAAAAAGGTCTAACCTTCGTGGCTTGATTCACCCCTTCGCCAGACTTCTCCACCTTCTTCTTTGCCATCTTCCGATCGTCCCCCTACCACAGGTGCTCTGAGAGGAAGAGGCGAAACCAGAAACAGAAGCCGGGTCTCCAATCCCGTACCCAAGTTAACCTTACAGCGGAGATGACCCACGAGGTTGTGAACAATGCCTAGAATCTGGTTAAGATCGAGCACACGCACAATCCGACCAGAGTGATCGGCCGTAATTGTGATCTCATGCTGCTTGTCAACAGGGGAGAGCGAGGGTGGGCGAAGGAGAACATCTCAAACCACAAAAGCACCTGACATATGGACGACACGTCAACTTTTGGATGGATGCATTTTCTAACGCCTCGAGTGTAGAAATTCCACATCGCCCCAATGTAAGGTACTCACGGGCTTGACGAAGTTTTCTGAGCTCTAGTTTAGTAGTGGGTAGGTGCATTGGCATTTTGTGACCTTGCTTTTATGGTTAAGTTATGTTTTGACCTGTTGTGGTTCAGGACGTTCTAATCCACTGGATAATGACAAATTAGATGATTGTCCTTAATAGATTGGTTCAACGAGAAGAATCCTCGTTGCTGCGGTGCATATTCATGTGATTTTATTTTTACTAGGATTCATAATACCCTCAAAATCAATCTTCCTAGGTGTTTCCTCCACTGGGTGACGATATGGGATGTCAGAGATTCTATCCAAGGAAATGTGATTCACCACATCAGAGAACTACAGTATCTGGAAATTAGGTCCGGACGCTACGTGGTTTTCTGCCTACATTACCTTCCCGACGACGTTTTCACAAAAGTATCTTGTGTGCAATTAAAGATGCCCTGATCAAGAGTATTTCGGAGACCATCCTGAGCTCTTATTGCCAGGGCTTTTGCAGATTGATGCCTTGTGAGAGGGACATATAAGATGTATCCACCTCACGTAGCAGCATTTAATGCTTTGACAAGCCATCCCGTGCCGCACCTTCCCCATTTAGCCAAATTTTCGACTTGAGATTCTTTAATAAGAAAGAGTTGGTCTGGTCCATGAAAATTCTGACTTCAGCGTTGGCGATGCAGCGCTGCAGCGCTGCATGTCCCTACTTGTGAATTGTTTAACATTACCTAATGTATGCGTTGTTAATTTCATCTGTAGTAGAACCTTAATTACAAATGCAATAGCTAATGGTTGTTAGTTTACAAATAATTATCACGCGGCTTCTCAAAAGATGGTATACGCACAACTGAATTTCTGAGCTACTAGTTGCACTGGAGTAAGAGTGTTGGGTAAAACTCTCAGTACAAGCGATATTGGAGTTATGAAACAGCCCCATCTCGGCACAAGGGGCAGCAAATTCAGGAATTCAATAGATTCAATCTGTCAGAAATGGCGAGAAGTTTGATGGCTGAAGAGGGAAATATTTAGACCTGGTCATTAGAACCTGTAGAGCCCACAGCTTCAGATCTGACGAAATAACTACTGCTACTACTACCTGCTGCTGTGTTTCAATACTTTAGTCTGAATTGCTAAAAGTGGCTATACAGCAATCACCAAAAGTCTCCACAAGAACAAACGCCATCCTTGAAGTGGTGAAATCTATTAGAATCCCGAGCAATAATCTGACGTTTTGTAATCTTAGATATGAACTTCGTGGCAGTATGGCAGTCACCACAGACCCGAAGGTTTTTTGAGATAACGATAGGAGTCAGTGGGGGTGTTTTTAATAAACCATATGTAATTGCAAGCCTCTCACTATGATAGAAAAGTGCTTGTTCCTTTTCATTGTCCTCTACATCATGCAACACATACCGCGTGTCTGGAACATAGCCCAACTGTCTCATCTCCATATGCAGCCTCTCGAGCTCTGCATGGATCTCCTCTGTCTGCGGATGGGTCTTGTCATCGGAATAGAACGTATGAACTTTACCATCCACTTCTATCCAGCTTTGTCCTGGCTTCTTCACCACCCCTCGGTCAAGCATAACCTTCCTCATTTTGGCAACTTCTTTCCACATACCAGCGGCCGCATAGATGTTGGAAAGGATTACAAAAACCCCGTTGTCATTTGGATCTAGCTCAAGTTTCTTTTGAGCAGCCTTCTCAGCCAGCTCCACGTTAAGATGTACTTGGCAAGCACCAAGCAAAGCACCCCACACACGAGAATCTGGCTCAACCTGCATTTTAATGATAAATTCTACTGCTTCATTGAGTAATCCAGCACGGCCAAAAAGATCAACCATACAACCGTAATGTTCCATGCGTGGCTCAATATTGAATTCCTTCATGGACTGGAAATGATGTAGGCCTTCTTCTATAAGGCCTGCATGAGCGCATGCTGATAAAGCTCCAACAAATGTTATCCAGTCTGGTTTCACTCCTTCCTGTTGCATTTGGTAAAACAGCTCTAGAGCCTCCTTCCCGCGCCCATGCTGAGCATAGCCTGTTATCATGGACGTCCACGAGTAGACATTCTTCTTTGGTAACTTATGGAAAACCTGGTGTGCATCTTCGATGCTTCCACACTTAGTGTACATGCTTATCAGTCCAGTTCCAACGAGTACGTCACAATCAAATGCTGCTTCAGTGATCAAAGCGTGAAGTCTTCTTCCTTCTGTTAGTGCTTCTGGGCTTGCACAAGCATTCAACAACCCTGTGAATGTAATCTTGTCTGGTTTAATGCCCGACTCCTGCATCATCTTGAAGTAATCAAAAGCAACTTGGTTTTTTCCATGTTGAACAAAACCTGCGATTATGGTGTTCCACGAAACTAAATCTCGTTTGGGCATATCGTTGAACAGATTCTTAGCAGACATTAGGTCTCCACAGTTGACAAACATACTTACAAGAGCATTGCTGACGTGAAGGTCAGACTCCAAACCAGCTTTCATAATTAGAAAATGAACCCATTTGCCAAGTTCCAAGGAATCCGAACTCTTACAAACATTAAGGATAGAGGTAAATGTACTACTGTTTGGCTTGATACCTTCCTTCAGTAAGGCTTGAAAAGTGGCCAAAGCATTATCATACTGCTCGTGTTGGACATACGCAGTGATCATGGCATTCCAAGCGACCACATTTTGCTTAGAAATCTTCTCAAACACACGATGAGCATCCTTCAAGCTCCCGCACTTGGCGTACATGCTTAAAAGTGCAGTCCTCACTCGATCGTCTGAACCATAACCAGCTTCAATGATATGGTCCTGAATTTGTTGACCTCGTTTCAGTGCTGATGGACTAGAACAAGCACCGAGAATACTCATGAACGTTACCCTGTTAGGCTCAATCCCCGATTCAATCATCTTATTAAAGAACAGAAAAGCTTCGTCTATGCGGCCATGTTGTGCGAATCCCGCTATCATTGCTGTCCATGATACGACATTACGTCCCTTCACGAGGTCAAAGACTTCAAGAGCATCCTCCATACTCCCACACTTTGTATACATGCTTAGTATGGCGGTGCCTACGTAGATTTCTGTGTCCCACCCGACTTCTTTCATGCGAGCATGAACTTTCTTTCCTTGTTCAAGAGCTTCCGGGTGATTGCACGCTCTAAGTAGACTCACAAAAGCCACTTTGTCTGGCTGCACACCCTCTTCTTCCATGCGCTGGAAAAGGTTACAAGCTTGCTTAAACCGGCCATGTCGAGCCAAACCAGTTATCATCGATGTCCAAGTGACCAAATCTCGCGTTGGCAGATTGTCGAACACTTTTGTAGCATCCCCTATATCCCCACACTTAATATGCATGTTTATCAATGCAGTGCCTACAAAAAGGTCTGTGTCCCAACCAGCTTTCAAAATCAGGTTATATAACTCTCTGCCTTTATCGACGTTTCTTGCGTCTGCACAGGCATTAAGCATGCTTACGAACGTGCGTTTGTCAGGTTTCACGCTATCCTGTACCATCTGCTCATGTAGTTTGAAAGCCTCCTCGTACAGACCATGCTGGACATACCCGCCCAGCAGTAAATTCCACGAGTATACATCCTTCTCCCGCATATCATCAAAAATCTGCTTGGCTGAGATCGTATTTCCGCACTTTGCATACATGTTAATCAACGTGTTCCACATGAATATGTCAGGTTGAACACCTGATTTCTTGATGTGATTGTAAATCCGTTCGCCATCTCCTAAATTTTTAAATTTGATACACAACTACACATCAAATAAATCGCAATGTCATAATCAGATCGAAGGCAGTATTTCCAAGAGTAAAGAATTGATCATTCCACGTGCAAAATACCCATGACTACAACAGTAAAGTTACGTTCAGAAAAAAAAAAAAGCCGCACACCTGCAACAGAGCGGAATAAGTCTGCCGATAAATCTGGATGTGAGAAGAATCCACTCTTTCAAGCACTTGCATTGCCTCATTAAATTGTCCTGCCTTGCTTAATCTGTTGAGGACAGCGTTTGCTTTCTGTGTGTCCTTAATGTCGGCAAACACAACACATCGCCCTTTCGGACACCTTCCGCTAAACGAGGTGGTGAGCATCCGCAACGTCTCTATTCCTTCATGTGTCGGCACACACGACGAGCATGCCAGAAAACGTTGCCGCGAGAATACCCAGGAGTTCCTGCATACCCCAAGTCCAAGCCATCAAAGGGCATGAAATCGCATATGTATGTGACAAAAAAACCATCAAGGACAATATCCTGCATGAGCAGGTTCTTAAAAATCTGGAAAGTCACAGAAATAAAGTAAAAATTACAAACCTACTGTATATGAGCTGGTGCGCAAGCGCCCTCCACAGCGTCCGAATTCCAGTTCTTCCCATTCTTAACATCTCCAATCTAGAATCTTAAACTTGAACAAAAACCTGAGAAGTTCCCATAAAAAACAAAAACAGATAAATCAACGTGCAAATCGATACATTGAATTACCTCCTACAAAATACGACATCATAACAACAGAAATTAACCCAATCAAAAAGCCACTCCGTCAAAGCATTCGCGTAACTTCCAAAGTATCACAATTTCCGCTACAAACAACCTCCGTTGACATCCCGCACTACGTCATCGTCCCTCCGATGCACTTATCAACACCCTCTAAAGCATTGCTGGAAACCAGTCCATAAGCAACAATACAGCCAAAACAATACAAACAAAAAAAAATAAACGCACAAAACCGCCAATTCAATGCTGCACACAAACCTAAACCCGCCGTTAAACAAATACAATGGACACTGCTTAAAAAGCAACGGCATTACACAAACTACACTTAACAATAAACTCCGCCAAAGCCCAAAACCAAATTGACAGCTTACAAACCTAAAAAAATAGACACACCATCAAAAAAAGTAAGCTCCATAAACCAGATCGACAACACAAGATCCTAAAAACGAAATCACAAAAAGCTCTAAATTAATATACCCTTAACCCTAGGTCAAGGATCGCGAGCGATGGTGGTTCGTCGACTACCTCCACGGGCACGGAGGTAACGACTGCAGCGACCGACGCGAGGATGCCATGACCCAAAAGAGATGCACGCGAGGAAATTGATCAGAGTCGCGAACCCAGGCAGCGGAATGGCGAGGCAGAGAGTGCTGCCGTGGATGAGGCTGGTCTGGTGACGGAGTCCAGTCCAGATGAGCTCGGTCTAAGCGAGCACGGCAGAATCGAGTTGTCCATGGTGTGATGCGGACCTCGGCACTGCTCCCGGAAGAGCCGCAGAACTAGTCGAGGCAGCCACGACACTCGGACCTGACATAAGACGCAAATCCCAAGCTACCATGCGCCGCGGGTTCACGGGATGGGTCGCAGAGTCGTCCAGCAACGGGGCCACGGCCGCCACGCTGAGTGACTGCGTGACAAAATCCAGGACACTACCGGATTCGGAAGTGGAAACACCCGCATCACGTGGTGTGACCGAGGCGGAATACGAGAGGATATGAGAGTTCAGCACGGCGGGCTGGAGCGGAGGAGGAAGCGAGAGGTAGTTGCCTGAGACATGAGCAAAGTAGGTGTGCACAGGTGGGGTGGATGCCGCTTTCCGGGCGTCGTGGAGGGGAACTTCCCCCAGGCAGTGCAGATGGGAGGGACAAAGTGGGAACAAAGTTGATGGGTTGGTTGCGCCGCTGCAGCGGGGTGCGGTTGCGATGGGGTTGAATGTGGGTGCAGTGCAGGAGGGGAGCGGGTGCGCACTGGCGTCGGGAGTGAGGGCGGGTGAGCGGGCGTGGATGTGGGTGTGGATGTTCGTTCGAGGGCGAACCGACGCTGCGGTGGTGAGGCCCCGGGTGGGGGGCCGGGCAGGAAGGGTCTGCCGCGAGCATCGATGCGGTGGCGGGCAATGGGTAGTATACCCACCACCGTGGCAGGCGTTTGTAGTCCAACGGTTAGGATAATTGCCTTCCAAGCAATGGACCCGGGTTCGACTCCCGGCAAACGCAGCCGTTCGTTCGGATATTTTCTGTACTTAGATTTATTTTTGCCCCAACATTAGATTTGTTTTTGCCCCAACAAACCCCGGCAGCCAAAAGAAAGCACACACACAACAAAAGGTTTCGAAGCTCTAATCAACTTAGCCTAAATCCACACCACACTTAAAAAGTAAAAAGTTATAATTTTATGCTTTTTGTTCTATTGGCAAGCTTTTCATCCTTGGTGGGACCTTGTAGTTGTTTTTGCTGGGTATTGCTTGTTCAAAGGCTTTGTGAATGTCAACTATGCCAGCCATCTCCTTTGGTTGGTATCATTGTAAATTCACTTCTATTTCTATAGAGATTCATTCTGTATATGTATCATTCAATAACTTCCAATCTAACCATCTAATTAGGTTCAAAATTCTCTACAAGTTAACTTATATCTTTGACTACTTCTACACAAAAATCCAACCATAAATCCATTATAAGTCTTTGGATATTGCCTAATCTCTAGCAGGTGCTAAACATGTCAATTTGTTAGGGACATAGTCCTTAGAACCTTCTAGAGACAAGTTTCTAGAACTTTCTAGAGACAAGCTTCTAAAACCTTTTAGAAGCAAGTCTCTGGAACCTTCTAGAAGCTTCTTAGTTGATAGAAGATGTTAGGAACATAGTCCTTAGAACCTTCTAGAGATAAGTTTCTAGAACCTTCTAGAAGCAAGTCTCTGGAACCTTCTAGAACCTTCCTAGTTGGTAGAAGTTGCTTGAGAAGCTTCCTAAATAGAAGTATATATTGGGATCGAGGCTGAAGAAATCTTCAGTCTCGACAACACATCTCTTGCAGCTCTAGCTCACCTCTCTGGTGTTGTTCTTGTATTCATCTGATTAATCTAGTTCTTGCCAGTTCTTCTTGAACTTCTTGGTAGATATCAAGTCTGTATTCTGTATCCGTGACAGTTTGTCGAGACTTCACTCACCTCAGATATCAGAGCTAGTTTCTTCTTTGTTAGAGTGTGGAATACTCCTCTGCTTGGAAGTGTACTAGCACTTTAGAGGTTGCGGATTACCTTCCTCTAAACTGATACTTCTTTTGTTATAATATTGGAGTCTTATTCTTCTTGGAGAGAGTGGATTACCCCTTTTCTTGAAGCTCTTAAGGCATTTTAGAGGTTGCGGAGTACCCTCCTCTAAACTAATATTGTCTTCTTGTAGAGTCATTCCTGTCCTTTCTCTTAGAATGGTCAGGGGCCAAGACATTAGTATGACGGAAAGTTCAGAGTCCAAGTTGGATGCTATCATGATTGCCCTTGCTACGTTATCACAAAGAACTGCAAAGATTGAAGGAGTCGTGGCAAGGCTTCATAATGATGGAGCATCTGGGATGGCACAATCTAGGTTGCACCAGCCTCAAACTTCTACACTTGGAGAAGCAACTTTGCCTCAGGTTCGACAAGCACCGATGGTTCTATAACATAAGGAACCTCGAATTAGCCTTCCGGACAAGTTCGATGGTACACGTTCCAAGTTTCGAGGATTCGTCAACCAAATCAGGTTGATAACAGTTTTACAACCCGAACGCTATCCAACGGAGGAGTCACGTGTTGGGCTTGTTGGAACCTTACTTACAGGACAAGCTGTATCATGGTTTGCTCCTTTGTTTGAGAAACGATCGTCCATACTAAACAACTTTGAAACCTTTTTGGAGGCATTTGCGGAAGCATTTGGTGAACACGACAAGGTTCGATGGACTACAACAAAGATCTGGACACTACGAGAAGGGATGCGTTCTACATCAGTCTATGCATCGGACTTCTGGCAATTAGCATGCGACATCAATTGGGATGAAGAAGCGTTGATGAGTCAATTCTATTGGGATTTAAGAGATGATGTGAAAGATTTGCTGTTAACTCTTCCTGATCCACAAATGCTCAACGAAGCTATTAGCCAAGCTGTGAAGTGCAATAACCGCCTATTCCAACGTTACCAAGACCAACGTTCAAGACAACATACGGTTCGCCACACCCCAACTATGTCGGCAAGCAGCATGAATTCACATTCAGAGGTAGAAGACATGTAAATTGATGCGGTATGTGTCAAATCTCTTACTCTAGAAGAAAAAAAGCGGCGTATGGAGGAAGGTCTATGCTTGTATTGCGGTGAAGAAGGCCACAAAGTTGGAAATTGCCCCAAGAAGCAAAATCGACGTATTAAGAAGACTAGGGGTGCATTTATTCAGGAAAACGAGGATGCCCAGCCACAATAGGAACCGTGCAGTTGGACAGTGAAATATCGCAACAACAACTAGGTTCCTTTCTTTCCGCTCAACTTGCCCTTTGTTTTACAATCCCTTTGCTTATTGGCCCTCAAAAACTGAGAGCTTTAGCATTATTAGATTCAGGAGCATCTGCTTGTTTCTTAGACGAAGAATTTGCAAAGCATCATAAGTTCCCTTTAGTACAAAAATCCAAACCTGTTCACGTTGAGGTCATAGATGGACGACCTTTATTATCTGGTAGTGTCACCCATGAATCAGAACCTATAGAAGTGACGTTTAAGGACCATAGTAGTCATATTATTTTCAATATTATTAGAACCCCATCAAATCTTGTTATTCTTGGTCTTTCCTGGTTGGAAAAGCATAACCCATCCATAGATTGGAAGTTGCGGAAGATGACCTTTCCCACAAAACCACCCAAGAACAAGCCTAGTAGAAAACCCTGAATAGAGAAATCCTTATTTATTGGAGCAAGAGCGTTTATAAGATTGTCAAAGGGAGGCACACCATTTGTCATTTATGCGGCTCCAACTACCGGGGAGAAGATCTCGACAGCAAGTATACCAGAGCAATATAAGGATTTTAAAGACGTGTTTCAAAAGAAAAATGCCAACATGCTACCGGAACATAAACCATATGATTGCGCCATAGACTTACAGGAAGGAGCACAACCGCCTTTTGGCCCAATCTACAATCTATCGCAGATAGAGTTGGCGGAGTTGCGGAAGTACATCAACGAGAATCTAGCCAAGAACTTCATTCGTCATTCAAAATCGTCAGCTGGAGCACCTATCTTATTTGTAAAGAAGAAAGATGGCTCGTTGCGGATGTGCGTGGACTATCGAGGCCTCAACAAGGTAACAAAGAAGAATCGTTACCCGTTATCCTTGATTTCTGGTCTCTTAGAAAAACTTGGACGTGCAAGGATCTTTAAACCCAATATTCATTATTTTGAGAGAATTCCAGTGAATTGAGAGTGTTGAGGAGGTTTAAAAAGCAAAAGCATGAAGTAGAGGTCCTTCTGGAACATTGAAAATTGGTGGAGTACAATGAATTCAAATTGAAATGTAAAGAATTTTATTTCAAATAATCACCAAATATACATGTCGTGAGTGTAGAACTTACTAAATAATTTGCAAACTTAGAAAACCTCATCTACAACCTCAGAAATAATCAACTATCAGCCATGCAATGTACACTTCAGAGTTGTAATGGCTTATCGTAGTTGTACTCAGCGATTACACCCCATTGAAATTTATTGAAATTTGTATCAGTAGTCAAGTTGCTGTGCTCTACAAGATTTGAGCACAATAGCATTGCATAATGAATTGGAGTAGTTATTTCTACAACAATGTCATGGCTCACATTTCCTTTTCAAATATTGCAATGTAGAAAGGGCTTTATGTCTTGTTGTGCTGATGTAGACTTTGCTGCATTACGAAGTATCTCATGGTTGTCATCTCGAAGATAATCCGGTACTTTCGGCAACACTTTGTCATAATTAGCATCTCCATATACTTTTTTTTGCATCAATCTTACAATAGTTAATAGGGACATGGTCGGAGCCTCAACTTCCGTTGCACGCAGTGTAGAGGGCCTGTCCAGGTCAGACAACTGCACTTTCTTCTCCAAAGGACTATCCACCACCCCATCGTCAACAAGCTTCTTAGAGAAGTCCATAGTCGAATTGACAGAAGGAGCAGAGCAAAGGAAGTTTCCTGTGCTGAGAAGAACGTTGTGGCCGTAGTCCATGATGGAATCTGCAGACACTTCGCATTGCAATCGACGGACCTGTTTCAATCCATCAAAAATTTCAGATCAATACAATTTGAAATGAAAAATCCGATTACCTATCCATACAAACACTTGTACTTGTCATCCACAACATTCTCGTACTATCGTGAAGTACTGACATGGATGTAAACACATAAATCAAGAACTGGAAATACAGTTGCAATAAGATACACGGTACATCACGACCACGTTGCATGAAACACTATACAACACTATCCATCAGAGAATTGCACATGACCTCCAACTCCTATTTCCACATCCATGACAAGTAAACAAATGTCCATTGATCCAATACATTGACAAATCAGCTCGACTCGATCTGAATCACAGTCTTCTGCGGAGATACGTACTCTTACAATACATACGTGCATGGCTGTCCTAATTATAATTAGGAGAAGACCCTCGAACTAGCTCCATGACCTTGTTATATTCAGTGCGATTCCGTTCATCGCACAACATTTTTTGCCCAATCCTGTTTGGCCCATGTTCTCGGAATAACTTTAACCCTTGGTCACGAGCAAGGTGTAGTCGTTGAAACCAAGGAAGCAAGGTGCGGAGGAGGAATGTGTCCCGGTTCCCCTTCCCATCATTAGACCAAGAGTTTGGAAGCAAGACATTCTTTGAATCGTTCATGATGTGCTTCAGAGGACTGTCGTCCACTATGATTGTGTTTTCTGAATTGAAGATTCCCTTATAACCAGAGAATAGA